TTACACTCGCTTCAAAGAAACGAGAATTGCTCTCAAATGGTAATTAATACTAGCCGAAGGCCGAGATGTCTCGAGGGGTGGTAATTTGGTACATTCTAAAGTCTGGTACAGACATTTGTGTCAAAAACTACAAACCATCCTAATACATTTAACATTCGATTTACTTGGTATTGAAGATAAACCAGAGTTTAATAGGGATGTTCACTATTTTTCAATTGTAATAAAAAGTAGTGGTTTTAGGTCCACAAAACACGTATTAAGCGTTAAAACATCTAGAAACCCTTTATTTTTTCTGATAAATCGAAAACAAAAAAACGAAATTAGCGAGGCTAGCAAAACGACCCCCTGAGGCGAGAGTACCGCTTGTGACGTCACTGTGCGGAGCGAAAAATCAGCTGGCGCGTTGGCGAGATTTGTTTACAAGTTTACATTGGATTTATTGTGTTGCTGGCTGTTGCTTTATCCCAAGAAGCTTCATTCACTCCAATTATCTGTATTTGTGTAATGATGGGAGACTCAAACAAAGTTGAACCGAGTCGAAATGAGTGGTATCTACGTGAGTGTTTTTCTACGAGGTGCGAAAATGTGCTACTTTCCGCACGCAAATCGTTGCGTGAAGACGCGTTTTTCACACGGTCATAGAAAAAATGGGCCTGACACGAGCATAAAGTATGTTTTCCGCACTTGCGGCTTGCACGAATTCCGCTGGCTCGTCGTTCGTGCAAATGCCGTTGCGTGCGAGAAAGTAACTTTCCGCCCTTGTTACAGGTAAATAACTATATACCATTGTTCAAATGCAACTATACCTACATCTAATAACGTCCGTTTTACTCCTACACCAATGGACTGGAGCTGATTCAAGTCGATACTTGACCAAACATTCTGATACCATAGTAGATAACGAAATAAACAAAAAAATAGTAGAGAACGTCCACAGTTGGCAGATTATGTGAATCGGCCTTTTGAAAACCTTCCTTCATTTTAGCCATAGTACCTTTTCTACCTTAATTTTGATAAACCCTATAACACAGAAATCGACATGAAGGAGATAGCAGCAATATCAAGATACTTGTTAAACGTTAAACAGACTCTCTCGTTAAATTAAAACCGAACCATAATAATAATAACAATAATATTAATATCAATATTCTTTATTGCCAACAAAAATCGCAAAAGCAACGTCACAAGAGGCTGATCCAAGTAGCTACGCCACTGTACTTGTGCGTGCTAACTCATTACGCATTGTGACGTCAGAGTCAGACAGCGTTTCGTGCGTTTAAACGAATATCAATATTTCATCTCCGTTTTTCTCATAGAAAGAATTTTCTGATTTTCGTAAAATTTTGTAGATTTACTTATGAAACGATGCTTAATAATTTGATGATGGTCAAACAATTTTTTTTAATTTTGTGAACATTCCTATTGGAATTTAGATGTCCAACTTCTCGCTATACCCTCACAAATTTGTTGGTAGAAGGGCTGGTAGAATGCTGTTAGGCTTCTAGAAGAAGTGAACGAGGCAAAGAGAATGAAAAGTACTATATTGAAAAGGCAGCGGGAACCATTTATAATTTACAAATTTCGATATGTGTTCTAAAAGAGAAAAAACAGACATTAGGTGCATATGTAGAAATGGAACTATTTAAAAAAATCTTGAATAAAACCCTTATCTATCACTTGCAAATAGATCTACTCTTATTATTTAGCATGTTGGTGCAAAAGTTATTGAAACAGCCATAATAGTTATTTATGATATAAGTGCTAAAAGTGACATTTTATTTTGTGAAAAGGGAAGTTTAGCACTAGTGCTAAAAGTAATCACTTTTAACATCAGTGTCATAAAATGGTATTTTAGACACTGACAGCATCCGTTAAAAATGACACTTTTAGTGACGTTTGTAGAAAAATGAAATTATTGCAATTTTGAAATTCCTTATGGTGTTAAAAGCAGGCACAATTGAACTGACACATTTCCGCGAATACTATAGTACCTAGGGACTCTAAATGAAGTAATTTACTACAGTAATTATTACAGTTCGATTTCATAGACTCTTGAAAATTTCCTCAGATGGATATCATTATAATTTTAAGTGAAAATTGAAAGGGGTAAACCGTTAATGAACAAACATAAATACAGCTTCAAAAAGTACCTATCTGAAAAGTGGTGAAAAGCGGTGGGTTCGTACAACGGAATCGGAAAAGTACAAATCTTTGCTTCTTACTCTGTGGCGTAGAAGACAACGATATTTAGAAAATATGTGCAGGAGTATTGCTACGAAGCCAATATAGCGGATACAAAGCCGCAAATTCTTAGCACAAGCACACCTTGTAAGAGAAAAGGGCTGGAAGATGCAACCCCAAAAATCAGAGAAAATTATTCACAACACTCTTTTTTCTGAAAAACCTTGAAGATAATTTCAATATTTTGGGGGAGAATACCATCGGAACATCTAAAGGTGAACCTTTTTTACTTACTAGTAAAATTTATCGAGATGATACCTCTGCGGTTATTGCTTTTAATGTTTACTATATAGACACAGCCCAAAAAGGCCACATTTGACCTGCTATAATGTTAATCGAAAAAGGTTAAAATTTTATAACCGCTCAAAAGGGCCACCAAATATTTTGTCTACCTGCATGCTGCTGATAAAGAAGAAATTCAAGAAATAACATTCAGTACTGGTTCACTAGTAGCTGCGATACTATGACGACCATCGTAGTTTCCAACAAAGGTGCAAAGTGTTTGATTTCCGAAAACTTCAAATATCGAGCCGCGCATACGTCTAAAGATGGAGAAACTCGATGGCGTTGTACAAATTCGAAATGTATAGCTACAGTTTTTACTAAAACAAGTGAGAATATAGTTTTTAAAAAATGCAACGTGCATAACCACGAAGCTGTAAGTGAAAAACTGCTGAATCGTCAACAAGTGACACAGGCTGCGAAAAGGAAGGCTGTCGATGATATATTTGAAAAGCCGTCAAAATTAATCAGGATCGGAGAGAATAAAGTCAACGCGAAATCGACTTTTACCAAACAGGACGCTGTTTGTGTGAGAAAAAATATTTATTACGCAAGAAGAAAGAAATGGTTAGCGTCAAAGTGTGTTTTTCAACAGCTTGATTCAGTTACCGATGAAGGTAAGAACTTTTTGATGCACCATCAAATATTGTTATTTTCTTGTAATACCAACTTGAAGTTTTTATGTGATCGAGACTGTTTGTAGTACATGGATGGAACATTCGAGAACTGCATCCGATTTTTATTAGCAAGCAGATCTTTATTATGCATGGTTTTCATGATGATCCTTGCGTACCTTTGCCTTTGATATTTCGTTTACTTTCTTCCAAATTAACAAATTATGAAAGCCTCTTTCATGTACCTATCAGGTACTGACAGAGTGTCAAAGAGTCTAATCGAAATGGAAATATTATTATTGATTTTGAAAAAGCCATGTCACAAATATATGGCCTTCTTGAATAAGGAGTTATAGATTTCACCAGGTTTCAATCTTGGTGGCGAAAAATACAATGATAAAACTTCCAATTTGCACAAATGGTTTTGTTATCATTTGGTCTCGTATGTCAAACTCCTAGCGAAGTTGGCGACTGGTTTTCAATGGAATCTTTTTGAAGAAATACCCGAAGATCAGCTTCTTGTATAGTACTATGATTCTTTAGATTGATAATTACATTGACTGATTTTTAATGGATAACTGGATGACCAAACATTTTCTTTGGTATTACAAAAGCTTCTAGAATTTAAAACATAAACGTGTGATTACAAAAATGATCGAGCTAATAACATTAGCAAATAGCATAAAAGGAATTGGAAAAATGTATCTCTCTCCAATATGCTGTTAAAAATTAAGATATGAATTTTTCAATTTGTCCATAATTATGTATGTACAATAATATAAAGACTAGGTTAGGCTAAGTTTAGTTTATACAGAGTGAGTTTTAAGTATGGAACGTCTCAATTTTCTCGAAAACGGCTTGCACGATTTTTTATGTGAACGAGTATTGCAATATGGTCGATAATATGGTATTTACATGGTTGTCAGATCTCTTATTTTTCGAGAAATATCAGGAACTTTGTTTTTTCAAATAGATCACCCTGTATATTATCATATTTCTGGGTTCTGTGGAAAATTATAGACATATTTCATGTACAATGTCATATACCTATCTTCGACTGTTTCGGAAATATTGACAGTTGAAAATTGATTTTTTTGCAAATTTGACAGGCTGTGAAACCTAAACGGCGAATTTTACAGCCAAACCTATTTGACATTCTTGTCTGTAGCTTTTTATAAGTTATCATTTGATACCAGCTATGAATTTAACCAGAGATTGAATTTAACCGAACTTTTCAAAGTTGGTGTCGAACGATAGTTTCTGAAAAACTAAGACAAGAATGTATGATCGGGTTTGCTGTAAAATCCGCCGTTTAGATTTTACAGTCTGTCAAAGTTGTGAAAAAGTCTATTTTCAACTGTGTGATATTGCACATGGAATATATAATATGTCTAGAATTTTCCGCAGAACCCAGAAATGTCATAATATACAGGGTGATCCATTTGAAAAAACAAAGTTTCAGATATTTTCTGAAAAACGGAAAATCTGACAACCATGTAAATACTACCATATTATCCGCCATATTGTAATACTCGTTCACACCAAAATTCATAAAAATTGTGCAAGCCGTTTTTGAGATAATTGAGACGTTCCATACTTAAAACTCACCCTGTATACTTACCTGCTTTATTTATTTATTGCTTAATAAAGTCAAAATTTTTGATTTACAAGTTTCTGTATTTTTATCAACCTGGTAAGCAACTTATTTATTTCCATGTGCCTAAAATGTACCCGACGTAATTCACCTATTATTTTTGGTTCAACTTACTTATATCAGTAAGCAATTTACTTGTACCTACCAAAAAGACCAACAAAAAATGCATTTTTAATTATTCCCACACAACTGATAATATTCAATTTCAGATTCTACCTCCGCGACTGGAAGATCTAATGCTCGACTAGATTTGCCTATTCCAGGACCATTGGGACAAGGCGCCGAACCATCTGATACATATTTGGAATTGCCGAGTACCTCCAATGAACCAGGTAACCAAACAAATTTAAAAATAAAACTGTATATTTATCAAGTAAAATTCTAGAGACTTTGCCTAAAAGTTGAATATAATTTATGTGAGCAAATGTCTTAGACACTTTACTAATACCTCAGGTATTGAGCCTTTCAAACCAAATAGAAAGAGCTTAAATAATTTAGATTTTTCTTTGTCTTTAATCACCTACTCATCGGACTTTGTGTTAAATACTTTCTTATTGGCGCTACTAAAATTAGCTTATTGTGAATGAGAGCAAGTAGGCTACCGTTTGTTAGCTTATGAACTGCCTGGTTTGCACTTTTTCTCAACTATATACCATAGAACCAGTTGTTTCGTATACCTAGCGCGAAAAAATCTCCTCAATCGTGAAAATTGCCAGATTTATTCTTCAGCGGATCTGTAAAGCTAAATTAAACACAATTGGGAGAGAATATTTGTTTGTCAGGAAAGTCACGAATCATACACATAATATCGATACAAAGAGAACGAATCGACAAATCTTCTCTGCTAGAGTAAAAAAGGAAAGCCACAGAAGATCTCCATCATAGACTATGAGCACTATAAGTAGTTAGACTTGCCCATTAAACATGTCTCGAAATAATTTCCAAGAAAAATCAAACTCGAACTAACTTTCACTACTTTAGGAGAAAAATATTGGCAGCACAGCCAACTCAAAGTGATTGAGTAAAATTATACCCATTTCAGATTCCTCGTGCTTCACTTTAACATACGTTTCTTTCCTATTTATTACCCTACTTTCCACCACGTCAATATCGTCCGCATGAGCGAGTATTAGTTGCGAATTTTTCGTGTGGAAGAGCTCTGTTTTGAGTTTGGAGTCTTTTACGACCTTCTGTAAGGCAATATTGAAAAGAGTCGGGGACAGCGCGGCACCCTGCTTCAATCTCCGTATTTACCTTGAATACATCCGACATATCAATCCCAACTTTCGAGCTGCATCTGGAACCTTCTACCAAAACTCTTGTTCGTCTTACAATCGTATGAGTTATCCCGAATTCTGCCATTTTCTCCCAGATCTTAACTCTTTTCACACTATCATAGGCCTCTTGGAAATCTATAAACAGTTGGTGTATCTGCCTATTGAATTCCCAGCTAGATTTGTCCTAAAGCCGCACTGATAGTCTCCTAGTATCTCCTCTGTGAATGGGGTTATTATCAAGAGGATTATTTGATAGAACTTTGTATGCTACGTTTATGAGCGATATTCCTCTATAATTTTTTCATATCATCCTGTTTTCTATTTTTGTTTGTGGGGATTACTATGCTTCCTTTCCAGTCTTGTGGGATCTTCTCGTTACTCCAGACAGTTCTTATGAGTTCATGTAGTTGGGATGAAGCTGTGTTTCCGGCATGTTTCAAGAGTTCGGCGGTTATCGTGTCTTTATTGTTTTTCAACTTTTTTATAGCGTTCTCAATTTCCATTCGAGGGAAGTATTCTTCTCGGATTTCCGCAATTTGGAAGCTGGTCGGTTTTTCGTTGTTTGTATAACCCTGGTTAAGTAGTTGTTCAGAGTACTCTTTTCATGTTTGCAGCATTTGATCTTGCCTGGTTACTAGATTATTAGCCCCTTTTCTTAGTTGTCTGAATTTACTGTTATTGTCTTTAGTAGGATCCTGCATCATTACTAGTTTTGCATTATTTCTTAAGAACCCTCTCACATTCCGGATCGAAGCAGTGGTTTCTAATAGTTTCTATATTCAAAGATTGAAGTGATAACCAATGTGAGTTCATTTTTCAAAAGTCAAATCTCACAATTCCAAAAAAGTGAATATATTTTTTTCAAATAATCCCTCATTATTTTCTTTATTTGTTTCTTGGCTTTACTCGCACAGTCACTCTTGCTGCTCCTATGATTGCTTCGTGTAGTACTTTCCAACTCGATGTCATGTTTGTTTTCAATTTCTTGGCTTCGGTGCTCTATTTCCGTCTGGAAACGCCTTCTGATTTCTTCGTTTTCCAGTTTTTCTGTATCCCACTGTTAATATTGTTTGGATTGTACATTCTTGGTATCTTCAATGGTTTTCAAAATCCCCATGTAGGTACTCAAGTTATTCCGGGATACCCTGTATAGGTGCTTACCAGCAACCTGATTAAAATCACATAGATTCAGGACATGCTTTCATTGAATAAAAATATTTTGTTGAAGTACATACCTATTTAAACTTATGCTACGCCTATGAGTTTCCCCTATATTTTTAGGATTGGCTACCTGATGGCAGCCCCAATATCTATTGTTCTGAAGCGGTCAAAAAGTGTTTAGAGGGTGAGCGCGTCTCGCTACATCAGTGGATTTTATTTTACACGTAAAAGATAACGAAACCAATCGACATTCAGGTAGAGATATTTGTTCACTCTGTAGGGGATTCAGGGCATTAAAATGGTCGAGTATGATTGATTGTGCCAACTTGTAAATAAATTGTACCCTAGTGTCGAGTACTGCAGAACTACTTAACTTGTTTCGACGTAAAAAAAATATAACTAATGTTTTATTAAGCGAGAAAATTACGCTGTAATGAATTATACCATAAGACGCTTGCGTGTATAACGGTTTCTTACACACGCCAGTCGGAAATCCGCCTAGCGAGGCGGCAGCGTCGTCAGTCGTCGCAGTCTAGGCAACCGATATAAACGCTTGTTGAGCACGCAAAACTATACAGTGTAGTGTACTTGTGCGTATTTGGTGCGACTATTGTGAATTCTTTATCTTGGTTAATGAAACGAATAATTTTCTAATTAGCATTAGAAAAAGAGAAAGACATTTTTGATAACAATTTTGACAGTTACATGTTGTTAGGGTAACAAAGTTAATATAATCAGTAACGACAGTAACCTAATTAAGTCAGTTTTTAGGATTATAATTGAAATACTCGTTTATTTTAAATATCATATTTTGTATTGTGTCGTATTTCATTCAATCTGCAATTTGTCATGCCGGGTTACACCTGCATTTACCTATTTTGTTCTACACGCGATGGTGACGAAAATAAGAAATCCTTGTTTAGATGCCCTAAAAATCGAAAGAGGTAAGTAATAGTTACACTACATTGGATAAGTAGAATTAATTTAAAAAGCCTATAACATGTATTTTGATTACTAAAAATGCAATAAACATAGTAAGGCTGCACATATTATAAAGAAGTAGTAAACATGTTAAATTTATAGCACTGTATACATATAACAAACCTAGAATTTATTTGGATATGAAAATCGCTGGCTGAGTATTAAATTATTCTACATGGTTTTGTTGTAGAAAAATAATGTAAACGGATCCTTGACTTTGTTGAGTCCTAATGATTGTAACCTTGCGCAGTGGAAAAAATAGGGTTTCACACAGTTATTAATATAGGGCGTAATAAGGGTGGTTATAGCTCGTGGCGTATTATTGAACGCGAACCGGAGGGCGTTAACTAAGGAGAGGGATTCTGGTACAGGCTTTTATGAACTAGATTTTATTTAAAAAACCGGTTTTAGCAAGCCTTGGTTTAGGGGTCAATATATCCACTGGCAAAGGCAAAACACAATGATCAGAATTTATGACTGTTCAATGTTTTTTTTTAAATCTACGCAAATTCGAATATCATCAAAATTCTTTATCGGTACCACTACTATAGGGCTGGCCCAACGACTGACGCTAACTTTCTCCAAAATACCAGACTCTATCATTTTTGTCAATGCACATTCGACTTTATCCTTCAGTGCATATGGCATACCATAAGCACGATGGAATATAGGGGTTGCTCCTTCCTTTAATTTCAAATCAACTTCTAACTTTCTTATGTAAGACCGATCATTATCAACAAAAACACTTTGAAAATTACCTTTGATTTATGAAATTAACTAAAATGTATAATTCAATGCCTATTGTTACATCATTTGGTTACTGATACCGAAATTTTTCAAATTATTTTGACCTGGCACCACTGCAACAAACTGAGATGAATTGTCAAAATTATTCAATTGAACTTGACTAATAGAATCCTCAAAAAAATTATTTTTTTTCCTTCAACACGGCTTAAGGGCATTTAACCAGTTTCGGCCTACTAATGGCAAAAATCTATGACTACCTCCTAATACTATTAAAGGTAGACTCAAAATGATATTTTTGTGATTTACAAAAACATCTGTTTCTCCCAAAATAGTTATATCCTGTCCAGTAAGCACTTTCAAATCATATTTAACAGAACGTAATTCTATGTAAGGGAAATACAAATTGAAATCTCTAATATGAATCACTGAACGACACGCACCACAATCAATCTCGAAATAAATTTTCATTCCTTCAACTTCAAGTTCTACTTTTTCTGGCTCTTCTTTACTTGTACTCAAACTTGACAGGAAACCTAACACTAATGGATCGTCATCTTCATCATTATCTGAACGCCGTGACTGCTTGTTATCAACCTCTTCTAGAGCGTTGACAGAAAACTCCTACAAACTCTACTCGTATGCCCCTTTTTCCTACATTTGAAGCATATCCATTCTTTTGCAGGGAATTTCTCGGCATCATGCTTCTTTGAACAACGAAAACATTACTTCCCATGTGACTTTTGAAATGATTTTGGATCTCTCTTAAACCTACTTTGAATCGCAAGTTTATCAAGGCTCTGTACAGTTGATGAAATTGCTTCGGCTCCCATAGATTTTATTTGGCCCTCTGCTAACTCCATTAACAAGGCAAAAAAACTGACCAAAACTACAATATTCAGATAGGTTTTTAAGTTTGGATACAAATGTTTTAACATCCTTGGTTGCATCTTGAATGGTGTTGTAAAATTTGTATCTTTCTGCAATCACTAATCTTTTAGGGCTGTAATGACTGATTTATGCTTTCTTTAGTTCATCATAGGTTTTACTACTGGGTAAATTAGGGGCCAAAATATCTTTAAGCATACTATAGGCGTCTCCACCAATTAAAGTCAACAGTAAAGCATCATTTTTATTTGCTTCGACTACGTTACACCCAAACAGCTGTTCCAATCTCTCCAAATAAGAGGAAATATCGGTTTATTTTGCATTAAAATTCTCTATTGATCCAATTAGAGCCAT